CCCTGATAGCACACGTACATCACAGAGAGACGTCTATTTGATGTCTGCAAGACATATTTTTTCGAGTGTTTGCTCATCTGCAATACGTCTATAGGATGTTTCCTATCAGATGTCCAGTAGACGTTTAGAAGATGTCTTTAAGATGTTTATGATTTAGAATGAATGTAAAACTGAAATCTTAAAGACGTCTATCAGATGTTTGTACACAGCAGATGCTTTCCAGATGAAGAGATCTTTAACAGACATCTTGCAGACGTGCATGTGCTATCTGGGAAGTAACTGTAATTTAATTACACATTTTTTTGATTACAGTTACATTTATTTTGTAATTAAATTACATAACGCTGTTACATGTAACTAGTTACTCCCCAACACTGATAATAATGCAGTATTATTTTTCAGAATGTTGGTAACATTACCACTGCTTGACATGTGGCCAGGAGGAGGACATGAAGTATTTAGCATAGTATTGCACTCTATTCTGCTTATGCACCTTTTTTTAATGCAAAAATATTTATGAACTAACCTTGACAAACATATTATACATTTCTGAAACTGCATTTTATGACCCATTTAAGAAATGTTTACATTTTTATTTTATTCTCAAGATGTATTATATTAAGAATGATTTTGCTATAGTGGTTCAGGTTGTAGGATTGCTGAATGATAGGTTTGGGACAGGAAAGCAAAGTCTTGGTTAATTTTCAACCCTGTAATATAAAGCAATTAATTACTCTGCATTTTCTGTCTACATGACAAGCAAATAGACTCTAAACTCTGAGAAGAAGATAAAACAGTTACACATTTACAGAGATCTCTCCTCATGAGGTTATATGTCTTTCTTTACAGGCTCATTTACCTGAACAATAACCAGTGCAGGTGAGTCTAGTGAAGTTAGAAAAACATGGTGCAGACGTAGTGTATGTTTTTCCCCTTCAGGGAACTCGAGCTGCGTCAGAAACTCTTGATTTGAGAAGTTTGCATTACTGAATTATTTAATTTGTTACTGTTTTAAGATGCAATCAGCAGATAACAGAACAAGGCATCATCAAGTGAGTAATGATGTACATACACATACATGCTTATATTCAAAAACACAAACACACACACAACATAATCAAATTCAAATTTGTAAGAGTTTGACTCTGTTATTATCAGCCCAGAATGGAAGCAAAAGACCTTTGGATTGCGCTCATCGCCAGGGTGTGTAAAACTTCATCTTCTTAAAAGTGACTTTATTTTTAAGTTGATCCGTAGTTAATGAGGACTAATGCTCAAGACAAAACCATTCTTGGTTTATGGCTGTTTTTGTGGTTCTGATCAGATGGCCAGTGAGATCGAGTTAAATGATGATTCTTCAGTTCATAGATGGAAATAAAAAAACTGGGAAACCCATGTTTTAAATGTGTATCGATTCTTTGAACAAATAAAATGTCTGTTCTTTCTGCTTATTCATTTGTATTACAGGATGTTGTACAACCAGCCGAGTGCATTGGTAGGGTGAGTATTATGTTTTTAGTATCAACCTGTTATAGCCCATTTCCACTCATGAATGGAATGATTACAGTGCTGTATGTGTGTTTTAATGAAGTCGGACAGATGTTGCTTCTGTAACATCATGGTTAGCCCCAATCATTTGGGAGGGAACCTTTGACTCCACACTGATCGACTCTATCTACAAACAACAGAATCTCACCATAGCAACCACTGTCTTCGCTTTGGGAAAGTAAGCCTTCATGATAGCCTCTTTTCTTGTATTAATAATTCGCTTCACTAATGTACCTAAAAACTATGCTGAAGTTCGTCCAAACCCGTAGCAAATGTTGCCAGTATTCAGCTACACTGACATGGTGTGTTTTCACAGGCTTCCCATAATTGTGCGACATTGTGAATCTGTTAACGGGTAATAATGGCAACAGGGAAGTCGAAATCTGCCACCAAGAAATGGATAATCACAGACATGTATACAGATGTTTATGAGCACAATGTGGCATCAGGAACAAAATCTGCCAAAATCTTTTTGAATAAACATTTACAATATGAACTTGTTCAACTTTTTTGCAATACTCTTTATTATGTAACCAAATGCAATTTATGTGTATTGAAAGCACTGACAACCTTTTGTTTTACCACTTTTATGAAGGGAGTTGAGGGAGGACGTTTAGGGAGCTACAAGGTCTGAAGCTAAAACCAATTGTAAACTTTAAATGATATTTTCTGGGTACTATTGCAAAAACATAACCTGCCTTTTTGTATGTTTGGATATGCAAACATGTGTGACACATGACATTTTGACACCGTAAAATATGTATGCATACATTTAGAAACATCAAAATCTTTACGACTATGTTTTATATTTATATTATTTATATAAATATATTATGATTCCTTTGAATTGTATTTGTTTATATTTGTATAAATATAAATGTATTTATACATTTTGACATAAATAAACACATTAACTATTGTATAGATAATAACACACTAAACTGAGCTGGACGATGACACAACTGAATCAATGATGAACTGACTTTAACAAAAAAAAAATCAGTTTACTATTGTCCTCTTGCATTAACTATACACTATTTTCCTGTTTAATGCTTTGACACAATCTGTATTGTATAAAGCGCTATATAAATAAAGCTGACTTGACTAAACATAACAGCTTTTCAACAATATATGTAGTAGCAATAATTTTCTTTATTCTTTCGGGCAAAGAATTAGCTCTGGTCTTAGTAAGAGTTTCAACTGTTTACTGGATGTTCTTGTACAAAACAGAAACAAAATAAACTGTTGCTCGATCTTTTTTTTTCTTAAAGGGGACACCAAAAATTAAAGGTGATTAAAGGCAGTCCAATAATAAAACAGAGCAAACCATTACAGAATAAACATGGGGTGTGTTTAACAAATGTACATATAAATCTAAACACATTAAAATAATATCTACTCGAGCACTTCTAATTTTAATGTTAAATTTTAATTATTCAAATTATGTCTCTTACATCCTCAGCCCCTAATTGTATAGGCAGGCATCTGTATATCATTTATCACATTAAATTATTTAGAGCAGGGATCCTCAAATCTGGCCCACGAGATCCACTTTGCTGCAGAGTTTAGCTCTAACCCTAATCAAACACACCTGAGCATGCTAATCAATGTCTTCAGGATCATTAGAAAATCACAGGTAGGTGAGTTTGATCAGGGTTGGAGCTAAACTCTGCAGCGCATTGGCCCTCCAGGGCAAGATTTGAGGAACCCTGATCTAGAGCCATAAACCTTCAGAATAAGAGTCTTTTAAGTCACAACTTGAACTTCTATTCAAACTACAGTCAGCCAGCTTCTTGTAGAAGACATATTTTGGAGATGGGTCGATTCAGTGTGCTGCTTTTCATCTGAAAACACACTGCGAACATTTCCATTAGAGTCAGGCATTGTCTTGATGATGCGACTTATCATCCTTCCGAGGTGCATTGGAATCCGCAATCAGGACAATGCAGCGATTCTAGGATTTTTTTCAACTGGGGGGCACAAGAGGGGCCAATCTTATGTTGTGTATTGATATGTAGAAGTAGATATCCAAGTCATAGTTCAGTAAGCTTTAAAATCAGCAATAAACAGTGAATAAAGGCATTTGTTCACTGCTGTAAATCAGCAGTCAAATACAATTTGTATTCACTTTTTAGAAGTGAAAAACTGTAATAAATAAAAGAATACAATCTGTGAATAGAGTATAACTCACAAAAATAATCAAACTCAACATTAATGCTTTAAAGTAGTGCCGATTGATGAGCTGATGAGAGTGGCAGTTGTTGGTCATCAGAAGTGTGGTGAGAGAAAGTGCTGTGTCTGTCTGTGTGTGTGACTGACGGGAGAGCCTGGTGAATTCATGACACATACGTGGTTCCAAACCTGTGTGACTTTCTTGTTTTTATTTTACAAAAGAAATTGTAAAGAAAGTTTTTGTCCATATATAATGAGCGTCAATGGTGATCAAAATAGAGCTTGATTTATTTTCCCATCGCCTTTCATTACAGTAGACAAAAACATTCTTTTTTTGTTTCATGGAAGAAAGAAAATCATAAAGGCTATAGGTGTTACGGAGCTGACGAGACGAGAGACGTGCAGATCCATATGCATATATTATATATTAAAAGACGTGGTCACAAACACAGGCAGGGTCGAAACAAAACACAAGAGCAGTCCAGTAAACGGGCGTGGGTCGATCGACGGTGAATAATATCCAACAGGGCAAGGCAAAGAGAGATAATCCAGGTACACAGCAATAATCCAGTCAGGGGCAAACAGAGTCCAATCGGCAAGACGAAGGATGTAATCCAAAATATAGAGCAGGCTCCATAAAGTAGCTATCAACTAAACAGTGATAAACGCTAAACAATACTCGGCAGTGAATGGTGGTGTGAGATTGATTTATATAGTGTGTGTAATAGCTTTCAGGTGAGCGTGTGATTGGGTACAACTGTGTGCAATCAGTGCAATGGATGATGGGAAATGTAGGCCAGGGTGACATGTAACAGTCTGTGTAGTGTGAGAGTCAATGTAATGGAAGAGCGATCTCTGGTGGCGAGCGGATGGAAGTCCGTTGACAGGATTCGTGACAATAGGGATAACATGAGGGAGAGTAAATGATGACAGAATTGACATTTTTGGGTAAAATACCCCCTTTAATTTATATATTTGACTGCCTTAAAACATTATAAACAGCTAGGGTTTTCGGAATGTGTGACATTCAGGTGAAGCAAAACGAGCTGTGTGCGGATCAGAAACATATTTAGCAGAGGTGGGTATCAAACAGAATTGAGTAGCAGTGGTGGAGGTAACGAATTACAACTACTCACGTTACTGTAATTAACTTAATTAAGTCGTTTTTTTCGGGTACTTGTACTTTTTTGATGATAACCGGAAAAAGGGACCAAAAAAAGCCGTGATAACCGGGAAAAAGGGACCAATAAAAGCCCAGATAACCAGGAAAAGCCGCCGCTGCAGCAGGCTTTGAAGAGCTGATCAGACAGTGAGGGAGCTCAGTGTAATTTATCAAACTCAAAGTTTGGAGAAATAAACTACTTGGTAGAGTTATCATAAATATCTATATTTTTATTACTCATTTCCCACAGTATATACCGTAGCCTATATACACCGATACAAGCTGCGCCTCTCTTTCCTCTCCAACAGTGAGTTTGACACGCATCCGCTTCCTGTCAGAGTCTGAATGTCCGCGCGGGATTGCAGGTTTTCCGCATAATTTTAATAATTCCCGTGCAAATGTGGCGAGCACTTTATTGTAACATGAGAACACAGTTATGTAATCGCTGAAAACTGGATGCAAGCTCTCAAATAGGCCTAACTTATACAAAAAACTGCCTGTCCTCTCACTTCGATATTGCTTGTGTGCACTCAGACAATCTCTCCGTGCTTTTAAAGTAGAAATTATTTCTCTTTGCTCCTGGATTAAACTTTGTCAAAAGTTATCAACCATTTAGAATAGATCCACACCTGACCAATGAAAATGCTACTAGAAATGTTATTGGCTGTAAGTGAAATGCACCAGAAAGTCTTTCAACAATCAAAGGATTCAAGCATTCAAAGTGTTTATTGTCATATGCCCAGTGAGGAAAACAAGTTTCCCTGAGCAATGAAATTCTTACTTTGCTGTCCACAATGAATGCCAAGACGGAATGGGATATTTGTCTGATTTGTACATATAAATATCCTAGTCTGTCAAACTGCATCACTACATTGTACAGTCATTACAGGTAAAAACCATCTGATGTTCCATTTATCTAAATAAATAACATATATGGCTCTAAATCACTGCTTATAAAAATTATGTGTTGTCATATTTCAAATACCTCAACTGAATTGAGGTAATTTGTTTTATCATTTTATTACTGACTGTGTACTTGTCTTTTTTTGTAAATTCAATTCAGTTTGAAATCAAAGTTGAAATCAAGCTTCCTTGTGCTGTAAGCTTTTGCAACAAAGTTCCTTGTCCTGTAAGCTTTTGCAACAAAGTTACCCTATTTTAAAGACACAAATAAACAGAATGAACAAATGTTTAAGATTGAGATTTTTGTAATGGTAATTGATCAATGTTTATCCACCTTTTTCCTATGCCCCATGATGCTTTGCGCGAATTATGGGTGGAACTTCCGTTATGACGGAAACAATCATTCATAGCAAGATGTGGAATCACACACTGACAGAACTTATAAAGGACAACATCAACATACCCGTCCCTTCCTTAATAGAGGAATGGGAGGACGATTTAAAAAAGTGGCCGCGCATACGTAAAGTAGCATTTTTAGCTACTTTGTTGATTCAATTGCTTGTAACGGTAAGGCAATGAGCAATTTGAAAAGCTCAGAGGCTTACCAATACCTTCACAGTAATAAAGTAGGTCGTGTGCTATTCAAAGATGTGGGCAATGATTTCGTGTACTTAAAAGCTGATGTAGAGCAGAGTCAAAGCCTGAATGTGTCACACCATAAAGCTTGGGCTTTAGTCTCTACGTCAGGTGTCATATAGACGGCAGGGTGCTCATGTCGCAGGTCCAGGGCGCTCATGTATTAACGCAGCTGCAGTAATGTGGAAGGTCAGTAA